CGCCTTTTTTTCTTTTTTTTTCACGCCTGTCAGGAGTGGGACGGGTGCGGCGGCTCGGCCGGCTGGGACGTCGGGTGGGACGTCCCAGCCGTCGGCTGGGGCGGTGGCTGGGAGGACGGCCGAGGGTTTTTTTTTGGGAGGGGTTCCTCTTTTTTTTTCCGTGCCCGCCAGGAGGCGGCTCGGAGGGCAAGCCGCAGGCGCGTTCTTCGTCGTTCGCCTTTTTTCCTCTCGGTTTTTGCGTCGCTCGCGGAGGCCGCCGTCCAAGCTCCGCCGGGAGGCGGAGCACAACGCCGCCAAGGCGCGTTTTTTCCCTTCGTTTTCCCTTTTTTTTTTCCGCTCGCCTGGCAGGACCGGACCCGCGTTGAGCTCGCCGTGAAGGCGCGTTCTTCGTCGCTCGGATGCCGGCCTTTTTTTTCCTGTCAGGACGAGAAGCTCAACGCCGCGGAGACCCGTGCCTCCGTAGCGGAGGCACGGGTGCTGGTCCTCGAACAGGAGAAGGCGCGACCCTTTTTTTTTTCGGGGTTGGGCGGGACCCGCAAACCCGTTTTGCAGGTGGACCTGATGAAGGAGATCGCCTCGCAGGCGCGTTTCCCTTCCTTCTTTTCCCCCCTTTTTGGGGGGGTTTTCCCTGGTCAGGCCACTCGCGCGGCGGTCCTGGAGGAGGCCTTGCGGAACGAGAAAGCCTGGAAGCAGGGCTTCCAGGCCCGCTGCCGGGCGTCTTTTTCGTTTCCCCCCCCTGCCCTCCCGTTGCGCCCCAGGCGGAGGCCATCGCGCTCCGGCGGGAGCTGGATCAGCTCAAGGCTCATCCGTCGACCGTTGAAATCGATCGGCTTCGCTTTCGTGCCAGGGCTCCGCGGCGCCGCCTTCGAAGCGTGGCCGTGGCCGAGGACCCCCTCGCCGTCGTTTTCCCCCTTTTTTTTTTTCCGATCGATCCCTCGCAGGAGCGTGAGCCGGCGCGACCTTCCTCGGCCTCGACCTGGAAAAAGCGCTCGGGCCCGCGGCCTTTTTTTTTTTGGTTTTTTTTCCAGTGCCGAGCGGGCACTTAGGAGTGCCGAGCGGGCACTTAGGAGTGCCGAGCGGGCACTTTAGGTTAGGAGGTGCCGAGCGGGCACAGTGCCGAGCGGGCACTTAGGTAAACGTGCCGAGCGGGCACTCTAGATTAGGAGTAGGCAGTGCCGAGCGGGCACTTTAGGTTAGGGGGTGCCGAGCGGGCACAGTGCCGAGCGGGCACTTAAGGGGTAGGAGTGCCGAGCGGGCACGGTGCCGAGCGGGCACGTAGGATAGTACGGGTTCGCCCAACGGCCCCCTTAGTACGGGTTCGCCCAACCTCGTTTGATACTGGCTCGCCCAACGGCCCCCTTAGTACTGGTTCGCCCAACGGCCCCCTTAGTACGGGTTCGGCCAACGGCCCATAGTACTGGTCCGCCCAACCTCGTTTGATACTGGCTCGCCCAACGGCCCCCTTAGTACGGGTTCGCCCAACGGCCCCCTTAGTACGGGTTCGCCCAACCTCGTTTGATACTGGTTCGCCCAACGGCCCCCTTAGTACGGGTTCGCCCAACCTCGTTTGATACTGGCTCGCCCAACGGCCCATAGTACGGGTTCGCCCAACCTCGTTTGATACGGGTTCGCCCAACGGCCCCCTTGGTACGGGTTCGCCCAACCTCGTTTGATACTGGCTCGCCCAACTGGCCTAGCTCTGTGCCCCCCCCCTGAGGCGGTTTTTTATTTATATAAAAATCTAAATGCTTCCATCCCTGGCAGGTTGTCTCCCGTGCTTTATGTGCCCCTCTGAGGCGGTTTTTTATTTATATAAAAATCTAAATGCTTCCATCCCTGGCAGGTTGTCTCCCGTGCTTTCTGTGCCCCCTGAGGCGGTTTTTTATTTATATAAAAATCTAAATGCTTCCATCCCTGGCAGGTTGTCTCCCGTGCTTTCTGTGCCCCCTGAGGCGTTTTTTTATTTATATAAAAATCTAAATGCTTCCATCCCTGGCAGGTTGTCTCCCGTGCTTTCTGTGCCCCTCTGAGGCGGTTTTTTATTTATATAAAAATCTAAATGCTTCCATCCCTGGCAGGTGGTCTCCCGTGCTTTCTGTGCCCCTCTGAGGCGGTTTTTTATTTATATAAAAATCTAAATGCTTCCATCCCTGGCAGGTTGTCCCCGTGCTTTCTGTGCCCCCTTGAGGCGGCTTTTTATTTATATAAAAATCTAAATGCTTCGATCCCTGGCAGGTTGTCCCCGTGCTTTCTGTGCCCCCTTGAGGCGGTTTTCCACAGGCATTTAGATTTTTATATAAATAAATCGAGCCGCTGCTGCTCAGACACCTTCGACTTGGCACACAGGCATTTAGATTTTTATATAAATAAAAAAAGCCATCCTCATCCTTTAGGTGTGTGATATAGGGATGCCAACATGCGAAGCGCACGGAGCTGAGTTCCAGGTCGTTGGGCGAAGCAGTATTAATCCTACGTGCCCACTCGGCACTGCCCAAAAAACCTCCCCCCAGCGCCAGACCCAGGCCATTTGACAAGCCGCGAGGAAGTATTATTTTCTTTTTTTTTTAAATAAATTTTTATATTTTATATAAAACTAACTAAACGCATGCATTCCTTGTCAGACTGCCTGCAGAGGGATTGAAGCATTTAGATTTTATATGAACAAAGCCGCCTCAAGGGGCACAGAGCTAGGCCATTTGACAAGCCGCGAGGAAGTATTCTTTTCTTTTTTTAAAAAATAAATTTGTATATTTTATATAAAACTAACTAAACGCATGCAGTCCTTGTCAGACTGCCTGCAGAGGGATTGAAGCATTAAGATTTTATATGAACAAAACCGCCTCAAGGGGCACAGAGCTAGGCCATTTGACAAGCCGCGAGGAAGTATTCTTTTCTTTTTTAAAAAAATTAAAGTTTTTAATTTATATAAAAAGCTAAACGCGCGCATTCCTTGTCAGACTGCCTGCAGAGGGATTGAAGCATTTAGCTTTTTAGAAAAATAAAACCGCCTCAAGGGGCACAGAGCTAGGCCATTTGACAAGCCGCGAGGAAGTGTTTCGATTAAAAAAAAAAGTTTTTATTTTATATAAAACCTAAACGCTCGCATTCCTTGTCAGACTGCCTGCAGAGGGATTGAAGCATTTGTTTTTTTAGAAAAATAAAACCACCTCAAGGGGCACAGAAAGCACGGGATGCCAGGATCGAAGCATTTAGATTATTATATAAATAAAAAAGCGCCTCAGGGGGGCACGGAAAGCATGGGAGACAGCCTGCCAGGGATGGAAGCATTTAGATTTTTATATAAATAAAAAACCGCCTCAGGGAGGCACGGAAAGCGGATGCCCGGGATGGAAGCATTTAGATTTTTATATAAATAAAAAACCGCCTCAGGGCGGCACGGAAAGCACGGGATGCCAGGGATGGAAGCATTTAGATTTTTATATAAATAAAAAACCGCCTCAGGGAGGCACAGAAAGCACGGGATGCCAGGGATGGAAGCATTTAGATTTTTATATAAATCAAACCGCCTCAGGGGGGCACAGAAAGCACGGGATGCCAGGGATGGAAGCATTTAGATTTTTATATAAATAAAACCGCCTCAGGGGGGCACAGAAAGCACGGGATGCCAGGGATCGAAGCACGAGGGATCGAAGCATTTAGATTTTTATATAAATAAAAAACCGCCTCAGGGGGGGCACAGAACTAGGCCATTTGACAAGCATCTCCAGGACCGGGTGGGGTTGCCGCTCAGACGCCTTCGACTTCGGCTGCTGTTTCCGAATGTCCGGGGCCTGGTTGCCAGTCATTGCCAAGCATTCGGGTACTTGCTGGGACGTGCCATCTTTATCTTTTGAAGCATTTTCTCAGAAGGAACTTAGCTTTCGACACCTACCATGACCATGGATGCCGCGCGGTCCCTTGGCGAGAGGTGCGGCTTCAGGATCTTCCCCGGCTCTGCGTCGTCCTGCTTCAAGATGATGATGCACTTGGTGCACCCGGACAAGTGCACGGACCCCCGCGCTGGAGAGGCCTTCGGTGAGATGCAGAGCATGAAGAGCTTGGCGGTCGCCAGTGATCCAGACGCTACTCGCCAGCGGCCCATGACTGAGCTGGAGGAGCTTCTGCGCCGCGCGCTGTGCAAGATCCGAGATCCGGTGGAGACCGCCGCAGAGGTCATCAATTTCTGTGACGGCCTTCTCCGTCGGCGCAAGCGCCTTGAGAGATCTGTGTGCCAGGAAGCCTTGGCGAGGCTCCAGTGGCTCAACCTCAATGATGCCAACCTCGAGGAAGCTGAGTCGGTGCGGGAGCTCCAAAGCATCTTTGAAAGGAGGCTCTCAAAGGCTCTTGCGGAGGTTCAGGAGCAGACGGAGGAGCCGGCCGAAAAGCCGGCTGAGGCCCAGGAGGAGACGGAGGCCCAGGAGCAGACGGAGGCCCATGAGCCGGCCGAGACGGAGGCCCACGAGCCGGCCGAAAAGCCGGCTGAGGCCCAGGAGGAGACGGAGGCCCAGGAGGAGACGGAGGCCCATGAGCCGGCCGAGGAGCCGGTCGGTCGAGGAGGCGGCCGAGGAGGCGGCCGAGGCCCAGATGGAGACGGAGGAGCAGACGGAGACGGAGGCCCATGGGCCGGCCGAGGAGCCGGTCGAGGAGGCGGCCGAGGCCCAGATGGAGACGGAGGAGCAGACGGAGACGGAGGCCCATGGGCCGGCCGAGGAGCCGGCTGAGGCCCAGGAGGAGACGGAGGCCCATGGGCCGGTCGAGGAGCCGGCCGAGGAGCCGGCTGAGGAGCAGATGGAGACGGAGACGGAGGAGCCGGCGGAGCAGATGGAGACGGAGGTCAAGGAGGAGGAGGTGGAGGAGGTAGAGGAGGAGGTAGAGCTTCCGACACCCGCCCAACTGGGGCACTACACGCAGTTCAAGGAGGAGTTTACCGAGCCTCCCGAGGATAACCTAAAACACCATCGCCTTGTTTGGGAGCGTTCACCATCAGCAACGCTCTGCAGCTCGACGCCGTGCGGCGATGCAAAGACCACAGTCTCTTTGATGTGCTGATGAGCCTGTTCAAGCGCTCTGTGAATGTGGACCAGGACGGCAGTGGGTGGATTCCCGTGCTCCTGCGCCCAGGCCGCACCGCGCCTGGGCTGAAGGGGCGGATCTTCTCCGGCATCGGTCGGGTGCCCGCACAGGAGGCGCCTGCCAAAAAGCGCAAAGGCAGTGAGGGCGCCGTGGATTCCGCTCGGGCAGTTCATGAAGCAGCTGCCGCCGGAGATTCGCAAGGAGATCGAGATGGGGGTCCCAGACACGCTTGTGGGGCGCTCTGCATTTGCCTTCAAGAAGTTGGTCCGCTACATCGCGCGGCATCGCCTTGGAACCGTCGAGCTGGACATCAAGAACTCGTTCTTCCAGCTCTTGAACCGACAGAAGCCGCTGCCGCCCATCATGGCGGAGTACCTGGACCACCGTGAGGAGAAGCTCGCGCAGATCGGCCGCGTGCTCTTCCACAACTGCCCGAGGCCCGCCGGCGCAGCGTGGCGAAGGAGCTGATGATTGCCCTGGGCTTTGGGGGTGGTTTCGCAAACTGGACGAGCAAGGTGCTGCAGGACATACCCTTGGCTTCGGATGAGGGGGAGCGCGGCGAGGTGGCTGCTTGGCTCTACGGCTTCGAGACGGCGGCGCGCCTCGACCACGTGGCCGTTTTTGAGCTGCTGCCACAGAAGGCCAAGGACTGGCACATGGAGCAGGGCCGCTCCACTGCCTCGGGGGCCTTTGCCCTGTACGCCCACCACGAGAGGTTGCAGATGGAGAAGATGGCGGCGGCAGCGGGCAGGGCCTTCATCGACCACCAGCACGACGGCATCGGGGCCCTCCGCTCCGCGAGCGAGGCCGTGAAGCGAGCCGTGGATGTCGAGGTGGTCGTGCACGAGCTGGAGGACCCGTGGGCATACGCGGCGGCGAAGTGCCCCAACTTGGATTGGAGACTCAAGTCGAAGATGGAGTTCTCCGGGTACCACCAACTGCTCCAGCGCTGCAGGCAGCACGTCATACTTGGACGGGCGAGGGCAAACACCGTGGACTTTGCGAAGCTGGCGGCGGCGAAGCTGTTCCCGGTCGTACACGTTCCGGTGGAGGGGGGTGAGAAGAGGACCACCTACGAAAGCTTCGAGAAGGGAGGCTTCTGGCTGGTGCGAAACCGGGACGACTTGGGCCAGACCGTGGAAGACCTGATGAACAAGATGTGTTGCCCGGTCTTCGAGACAGCCGATGAGAACTACGTGCCGCCGCCGCCCCTCAACGATACTGCCTTCTTCACCGGTCTGTCCTCGTCCGTTCTGGGGCGTCTGGCAGGCCCGCAGATGGCGGACCTCGACGGCGACGAGACACGGCACAAAATCCTCTTTTGCGACGGCATGCTCTACGATTTCAAGGAGCGTGTCCTCCGATCACCGATCCCCGCCGACCGCATGGGCTTCCACGCGGCGGCGACCTCAGAGATGTGGCAGCCGAGCAAGGCGACCAAGCTCTTCGAGCACATCCTGGCTTTCTTGAAGGAGCATGTGGAGACGGGGGTGTGTCTGCTCGAGGCCAGCGAGAATGGCAAACAGGTCATCGAGTGCTTCGAGGAATTGGAGCAGGACGGGTGCGAGATCCTCCGCTACATGAAGGTGTACGGGGACTGGGACTCCGTCCTGTACGAGCTGCGTCTCATGACCAGGGCCATCTCCGCGACGCCGCGGTTCTGCGAGATGTACTACATCTGGGGAAGCCAGGATTCCGGGAAGGACACCAAGGTGAAGATGTTGCACGCCTTCTTCGGTCACGGCCAGGACAACTACGGGGTGCAGCTTCCGGGAAACTATGTGGTGCAACAGACTCGCTACCTGACCGCGAAGGACGGACCCGCGCCTTACCATGCAAGGACTCTAGGCAAGCGGCTGGCCTGGGCCAGTGAAGTCCCCGAGCACTACTCGTTGGCGGATGACTTCATCAAGCCCTTTTGTGACATGGAAGGTGCGCCAGTCTGCAGCAGGAAGCTCAACAAGGGTCCCCGGGACTTCATGCCTACGGCTTTGCTGGTGGCAACAAGCAATCACCCTCCCCGTGTGACTCGACCGGATGGGATGCTGCGGCGGCTTCGAGTCTGCCAGACAACGGTCAGCTTCACCTTGAAGCCGTCCATGGCCACCGAGGAGCGAGCCGTGGATGGCCTCAAGACCGGATAGACCGAGGAGAGTTCAACAAGTACATCTTCTTCCTTGCGGCAAATCTCGTGGACTCGTTGGAGATGGAGTACAACCCAGGCACCGAGATCAAGCCGCAGCCACCGGAGATGAAGATGAGCGCCATGGACCTGGTCCCATGTGCAGACAAGGACGAGGAGGCCAAACCCGAGGCCTTCATGGCGGAGATGTGTGCTGGTGCCCTTGTGGGAAGCAAGCCTCCACACGGAGCTGACGATGGCGCTGCAGACCTACCTCAGCCTGGACACCTTGGGCGCGGCAAAGAGCGTGATCTCGAAGTTGGGGATCAAAGGACAATCCTATGGCCCGCGGTACATCTCCACCCTCAAGCAACATGAGCGCATGGTGGGTGTGAAGCTCCGATCGGCATCGACAAGTAGCTCTTAGGCTTTTGGGTGACGCACAGTGTCAGCCATTTGCAGAGACCCGGCAAGTCACGTGAACTGATGGCGTGCTTGCGCAAGGAAAACACTGTCCAACCCTTGCTGTCTTGAGCGCACCTCAGATGTCCAACCCTTGTTAGATGCCTCAATGCCTGAGGCTTCTGCGGTCTCGACGTCTTGCTCGGGCAGGTCGATAGGTCGAGGACACGGACATGGGGATTTAGATTTTTATAATGCCGTCGTCTGAGAGACTTGGGGTGCTCTCAGGAAAATCATGCTAGGGTTCCCCCAAAACACGACTCAAAGTACTACAAGTTTCCAGCGCTTTATGCAAAGTTTCCAGTTTGGTCCAAAGTAGCCGTAATCAGTCGAGGGTCCTGGGCCTTGGAGGCGCCAGGAAGTCGTCCAGCTGCCTGACAGCTGCCGGCCTGCCCCGCCTCGTCAGTCGGCCCGCCGCGTTGCCGCTGCCCTGGGGCGCCGGCAGCGCCAGCTTCAGCAGGGTCTCCCGGCCCTCGGTGCTCCGGACGGTCATGGAGTCCACGGCCCGCAGCTGCTGCACGTCGCCGTACTGAGGGTTGAAGCTCCTCGCCGCGTTCGTCGGTGCTCGGAAAGCGCCCGCGTCCTCCACTGCCTTGATGCGGCGGTTCGTCAAGTCCTTGTTGTGCTGGAACCTGTCGGCGGTGTCTTGGAGGACCCTGAACTCTGTGGCCGGCTGCTTCTCCACGTCTTCCGGGGCGCCATGCACCGTCTCGTGGGGCCGCGCGTTGTAGGCCGAAGCGGTCTGCTCAAAGTGGTCGCTCCACTGGCCGCCCTTGCGGGCCACGCGCGTGGCCAGGTCCTTCTTCAGCGTCTGGATTCCCCGGTCCACCACGGCCGTGGCGTTGCGGTCCTCCGGGCGCTTCGTTCGGTGCACGGCTTCCGCGGGCAGCTCCCGTGGCGAACTCGTTGCCCAGGTCGGTCGTGACCACGAAGTTCTTGTCGTCCCCCGTCAGCTCCTGCGTGGCACGCTTGGTGGCCCGGCCGACCGTCTCGGCGTTCTTGTTCTGCAGAGGTTCCACGGCAGCCTCCCGGGTGAAGACGTCCATCACCACCAGGCCGTACTTCGTCTTCCCCCGGGTGTTCTGGCTGAAGTCGATGAGGTCGGCCTGCAGCCGGTCGTTCGGCCCCTCGGCGGCCGACTTGCCCAGCGCGCGCGGCCGGGGCGCCTGCACCTGCCGGCCCACGTCGGCCTTCAGTGCCTCGAAGGCCATGGCCTGCGTCACGTCGAGGTCGCGCTGCCTCGCAAGTTGGTACAGCTTCCGCGGGTCCCGCACGTTGAAGTCGTCGGCCAGGTCCCTCAGCGCCTCCATGTTTACTTGTTCTTCGGCCCCCGCTGGGCCTGCCAGGCTTCCAACTCGTCCAGCCGGGCCTGGAAGCCCTTGCACACCCCCCAGAGCACGCTGGTGAGGTGCGAGTAGTCAAGCGTGATCATCTCCGTGCCGTCGCTCCACCTGGCGGTGCCCGTCAGGTTCTTCCACTTCGTTCCTGCAAAGTCGTTCGAGGCGAAGCCCAGCCTCAGGTCCTCGTTCATGTCCGGGCGCTTGTACTGCATGGCCTCCACGGAGTCGAACAGCTGCAGCAGCTCTGCCACGTCGCCCTCGGCCATCTCCGTCTTCACCCTGCTGTCCGACAAATTCGTGAAGCTCGTGTTGCAGACCACGTTGCCCGTGTTGCCTGCGATCACCAGGCAGCCGGGGTTCCTCTGGTTCGTGGTCAAGGACAGCTGCGTCGAGAGGCTCTTCGTCTGCGCCAGCGCCTCGTCGTTGATCATGATGAGCTCGCACTGGTGCGCCCCGCCGTCTCGCTCCAGGAAGACCCGCGCGCTCTGGTTGCCCAGCAACCGCAGCTCCGGGCCGCTGTTGGAGGCCGCGCTGTTGTTGGAGATCTGCAGCTTGCTCCAGCCCGCCCAGTTCGTCGTCAAGAAGAGATCGTCCGAGAAGTCGGAGGTGTTGGTCACGATGAGCGTGTTGGACGCGAAGAGCTGCGGCGCGGAGACCGTGCCCGAGCTCGTCACGTCGCCGCAGACCACGCTGCCCGTCGACACTCCGCCGCTCGTGGCTGTGAAGGTGCAGTCCAGGCTCTCGCAGTCCAGCGGGCCCGCGGAGGCCGCCCCGGTGATCGTCAGCGTGGCGCCCGTGACCGTTTCGGTGGCTGCGAAGCTCGCTGCGGTTGCTGCGCCTGAGGCCGTCAGCGTGCCCGTGAACACGTCACCCACCGTGCTGAATTTCCCAGCGTTCACCATGTTGTTGATGGTGAGAGTGCTGCCGGTGATTCCGGTGGCCGAGCTCAGCAGGCCCACGCTGGCCGCCCCGCTGATGCTCAGCGAGCTGCCCGACACGGCGCCGGTGGACGTCAGCGTGGCTCCGGCGACGGTGCCGGTGGCAGTGAGCGCTGCGCAGGAGACTGCGCCCGAGGCGTCCACGCCCGTTGTGAACACGTCCGTGCAGTTCACGTCGTTGCACAGCAGCTGGTCGCAGCCCACGGTGCCCTGCGCAGTGAGTCCGTCCAGAGTGGCCGAGCCCGTGAGGGCCAGCGAGTCGGCCAGCAGGTCCGTCACGGAGACCGAGTCTCCCTCGAAGGCGCTGGCCCTGATCTGCATGCTGTACAGGTCCAGCGTGCCCGCCGACTGCTGCACCAGCCCGGGGATAGAGCCGCCGAAGGCTCCGAAGTGCAGCTTCGCGATTCCGCCCGGCGCCACCGAGAAGTCCAGGCGCGCCGTGCTCCAGACGCCCTGCGAGGGCGTGCCGAGGAAGGTGCCGGTGACGCCCACGTAGTCGTTGTCGGCCGCGCTGACGTACATCACCAAGTTGGAGGCCGTGCCCAGCCGGTACCGGCAACCGAAGGAGTAGCGTCTCCCCGGCGCCAGGGTGTAGGTGCGCACAATGTTCCAGGCGAAGGCGCTCAGGGTCATGGCGTAGCCCTCCAGCTGGAAGCCTCCCACCGTGAAGCTAGCCAAGGCCACGGAGCTCTGGCTGTTGGAGCGCACCAAAAAATTTCCTAATGTGGTGAGCGTGGGCTCCAGCAGCGCCTCGCCCAGGGTGGCCAGCGTGACGTCGTCGGCCCCTCCGTCGAGGAACTCGTGCTTCAGCAGCAGGCCGAGGCCGCCGTGTCCTCCTCCTCCTCCGTGTTGCCGACCTCCAGGGTTGCGTCCAGGATCTGGAGGCCGTAGACGTCCACCGTTCCTGCCGTCTGGTTGGGCAGGCCCGGCGCCTGGAAGTGCGCCCCAAAGTGCAGCTTCGCAACTCCGTTCGGAGGCACGGTGAAGTACATCTTGGCCGTGCCCCAGGCGCCCTGGTCACCCACGAAGCTGCCGTACAATGGGTCGTAGACGTTGTCGGCCTCGGACATGTGCGCCACGAAGTTGGAGGCCGTGCCGAGCCGGTACCGGCAGGCGAAGAGGAGCTCTCGGCCGGGCGTCAGGTTGTAGGTGCGCGCGATGTTCCACGGGTTCGCTGCCAGGGTCAGGGTGTAGCCGTCCACGCTCGCTGCGCCCGCGGTGTGCGTAGCCAGGACCACGCTACAGCCGCTGCTGGGGCGAACCGTCCAGTTTGACAGTGAGACGTCCGTGGGGGCCAGGATCTGCTCTCCTATGGCGGCCACCACCTCGTCGGCCCCCCGTCGTCCGGAAAGCGCACTGCTATTTGCAGGGCCGAGGCTGCCTCCGTGACTCCGAGCTTGCCAGCCAACAAACCGTCCACTTGTGCGATGGTGTAGTAGCTGAGCAGGGCGGCGGCGATGCTTGAGGCCGTTGCCGTGTCCTGGTCGGCGGCCGAGCGGTACGATTTGGTTGGTTGTGAAAACATCCTGGTCCGGGCCCGTCCGGTAGGCCAGCAGCGCGCCTGCGATGGCGGCCTGCGTCTGCGTGTCCTGCGCGCTTGCCGTGCGGTAGTCTCCCAACAGCGCGTCCACTTGCGCCGAGGGGTAGTAGGCCAGCAGCGCGGCCGAAATGGCACCGGTCGTCTCCGCGTCCTGCGCGCCTTTGTTTTTTTTTTTATTTTTTTTTTCACCGTGCTGGTAGTCTCCCAACAGGGGCGGTCCAATTGTGAGGAGGTTTGTTGTAGGCACAGCGCAGCGCGAGGGGCCGCGTCCGCTCGCTGCGACGGCGTAAGTAGCAGTCGGCGTGATGCTCAGCGTGTGTCATCGCCGTTGGCAGCGCAGAGAGAGAGGAAGCCTCAGATGCAGTGTTAGAGAACGGGACGTTGCTTCCGCGGAACGAGCTTCCAAGTTGTGAAGCCGCCCAGGGCCGGTGCAGTTAACAAACTTCCTTCGCCTGCCGGAAAGCTGCAGGGCTGCGAGCTCCGCGAGGATTGCGTCGAGGGCGCTCTGGAGCGTGGTCTCGCTGGCCGAGAGCGCGGCGTTCGTGGCGTATGAGGCCAGCAGCGTCGCGTCGGCCTTGGGCCCCTGGAGCGCCGCGATGCTGGCGTCCCGGCTAGCAAGCTGCGCTGCGACGAAGGCCTCGGTGGCGAGACCCAGCAGGGCATTTGCTATCTTGGTGTCCACCTCCAGTGGCGTGTCCAGCCCGTCCATCGTGGAGAGCAGGGCGGCCAGCGCGCTGGCGTCCGCCTTGCCGAGGAGGGCGGCGTCCAGGGCTGCCGTGGTGACTGCGCCCAGGAGGGCCGCCGCTATCTTAGAGTCCACCTCCGAGGAAGTGTCGACGGCCGACAGCGGGGCGTACGCGGTCAGCGCGCTGGCGTCCGCCTTGGAGGCCTGCAGGCCCGAGATGGAGGCGTCTTGGCTCGCGAGCTCGGAGGCCAGCGCTGCGGCGGTGACGGCTCCCAGGAGAGCGTTGGCCACCTTGGTGTCGACCTCCAGCGGCGTGATCCTCGCCGCTATGTCTAGGGAGTGCTGGTCCACCACCGTCTTGAGGCCGTAGTTGGCGGCCACCGTGGCCAGCGTGGCGTTGTTGGCCGAGGCGATGGAGCCGTTCATGGCCGCCGTGGTGTTGTAGTTGGACAGCTTCAGGTC